AGAGCTGAAAATCACAAGAAGAGAGATTTCTGCACCCTGCGAATACTCTCTTGCCGCCTCCTTCCTGCCGCCGCCATTACCTTCAGTTCGATCTCCAGTTCTTGGGAGCAATCAAGATTGGATCTTGATTTCAATCTTTTGGGAAAAGATTGGTTGGTGCTGTACTCACAAGCCATCCAATTGATTCTTGCAAAGGGTCAAGTTCTTTTGGAAGAACCTTGCTGATTCTGCTCCATCCTGCACTGCGCCATCTTCAGTGGGAGCAGATTTTGGATCCTTCCTTGGGCGTGAACACCTCCATTGGGAGATAYTGTTTCTCTGTATCAGGTACATCCTCCATTCTATTCCGTTTGGTTCAGATTTGGTTTGGTTCATGGTTCAAGATTGATCCTTGAAAATTTGTTTTCTAAAATAGGGAATTCGATTCCCTGCAAAGATGGGAGAAATTTTTTTCAAATTCGCCCAGTCCATTCTACAAGACTTGGGCGTCCATGTGATGGATATCCCATCCCTTCACATCCTACACCAGCCAGCGCGCGCTCCCTTCTTTCCAAGATTTGAAATTTGAAAATGAAGCCACAGTCCACTCAACTTCAGACCGAGTTACAAAGCAAGCCGAATAACCTATGAACCAGTCAAACCAATTACCCTTATTAAGAGCTACTCTCTTCGCCGAGCTAACACTGCCTCGAGAGTGGGGGGAAATTGATGAGAGGTAATTTGGTCCTTTGAATCATACAGTGACACGTAGCTTCCGGATGAGACCTTGGTGCTGAGTTAGCGGACCAGCTCGATAAATTAGCTTGGAGCACCTCGCTCAAGCCGACCTCCACCTCGACAAGGCTGAGTTGGCAGACCCCATAAGATTATGACCACTTGTTCTAAGAGCCAGCTGAGCTGAGAGGACCTAAGGCGACCTACGAGGAAGAGCTCGCTAACCGTCCCGAGCAGTTCGCTACCAAAGGCGACTGACCTCCACCTCGGCAAGGCCAAGCTGACAGACCCCCCCCCATAAGATTACGATGATCTATTCTTGGAGCCAGCTGAGCTGAGAGGACCTAAGGCGACTTGCGAGGAAGAGCTCACTAACCGTCCCTAGCAATTCAATACCAAAGGCACCGATAGCTTGACCGTTAGAACAGCTCACCATACCGTACGCATGATTCTACGCGAACGACTCGTAACTCCCGCTAAGATCTCCCAAGTAACACTTTAATGCAACTGAAAATAGGGAAATAGCTCCACAAAGAACTCAAGACAGTTACTCTAAGCTCTTGAGTCCAGGAGCCTATATAAGACGTCCAGATCCACCCAGAAAGTTATGCGCACAAATACACTCAAACTCTCTCGCACATTCTCAAGAGACCAAAATGCTGACTTAAGAATCAGAGTGTTCTTCCCAGGTAAAACCTACCTGGCACCCTCACCATTCTCTCTCTACAGCTCGTCTCAACTCGGACACATAGACATCAACTTAGTCGTGTAGTTCAGCACTACCAGATTGGAACCTTGTTCAAGCCAAGTCACAAGACACGAGGGAGCAACCTAATAGTGCATCATCAAATTGAATTGTTGATTAAGAGTTGCGTCAGACATAAGATGTTTTGTTCCCTAGTTTATAGGAGAGAGAATCAAGGAAATTAGAAGGTGGTATAAATTTTGCATCAAATTTGGAGAATATAAAATTTTCAATACTAGTGAGTGAAAACGAGACAAAATTATGCATCTTATTTCAACTAGCAATTTATGGTTATAAACAAGTGGATGCAAAGTTGAATAAAAATGCAAATAAAAATTTTTATTTATTTCAGATTTGCATTACAAACATATTGATCCTTAGGCTGAGTTTCGAAGGAGTGCAAATTCAAATATGTAGGGTACAAATACATACAAAATAATAGAAAATGTAAGGTTTTGCACTCTATATATTTGCATTTGTACTTCTTCCAAACTGAGCCTTTATGTCAAATTGTAGGTAGCTAATGTCTGCATTAGAATTTGCACTCAATCCATTATTGCATTTCCTTGCATTTAGTTAAAGGCAAATGAAATTCATAATTCAAACAAACAGCACCTTTATTTCATACCCATATTTGAATCAAAGTCTTTCACAAACTAGGTATATAAAACTCATACAGCTTGACAAATATGTTCATATGAGCTAACATAATCGTCAAATTTGTGAGAAGGATTGTTTGCACATTTTATGCCCAATGACCAATTAATTTCTCTATAGTTCATCCTTGGGAATGTATGTATCAGTAGGATTTGGTGAGAACTTGATAGGATATGAGGCCTCCATGGCTATACCACATAGTCCTTCTTTAGAGGAGATACTGCGCTCCATTCTTATATAGCCTTTTTCTCCCCAATCAGGTCCCCAAGAGTTCTTCACTATCCAGTATTTAGTCCCATCAATAGTTGTTCCATAGCCCACAATTGCCACTCCATGGTCAAGCTCTGTGCCACATTTTCCAGTAAATACGCCCTAAAATCACAATTGAGCCAATTCAAAATTTTAGATTTGAATTGATAACATATAATTTGATTGAATTGGATCCAACTTAAACAAATCGGGTTCGAGTTTGAATGGGATTAAATATTCTGATCCAATTACAACCCTATAAACAGAGAAGAGCAATTGGATTTGAAATTAGGCAGTTGGTACCTCTGAATAGAATTGAAAGTCTGTACCACTAGCTTCAATGGCAACAGACACAGGTTGGTTTGCAACAGCCTTCTTCAATGCATATTCATTGTTAGCTGGTACGTTCTCGTGCCCATCAATGGTTACAACTGGAGCATTTTTCTGCAAAATCAGCAAACACAATCCCCATAAAGACACAAGTTTTCACCAACAATCTAAATAGCTAGTCTGGAAAATAAGGGCGTCTAGTTTTACCTTTGCTTCCTTACAAGTTCCTTGTTTAGCTGTGTAGGGATAATTTTTCTCAGTAGTTATTCCTCCAGTTTTCTTGATGAATTCAAATGCATATTCCATTAGTCCTCCATTGCAACCTTGATTATAAGTGGTATCACAGTCTACCAACTCCTGCTCGGACAATGAAACTAGGTTGTTCGTTTTGATTTGGTTTATACCTTCAACTGCAGCCACGGTTGAAAATGCCCAACAACTGCCTACAATATCAACAAGATGAGGTAAGTCTCTAGCTAGAGAAATGAAAGCCGTAAAATCTGTATTAGACTACAAAGTTAACTTTATCTTTAAATTAGTGTTGGGGAATTTAGGGGTGTTCATGATCCAATTTGGTGCAATTTGGAGAAGATCTCAGTGCAAACTGGTAAACTACGGTTTGAGAAATTTTAAAACCAAATCAAATTAGACCAAACTATTTTTTTACAGTTTTGTGCAGTTTTTAATACGATTTGATGACTTTGGACCATTCTATGATTCTACTGGGCTCAACCCAATTAGAAAGCCCAAATAGATCCCCTAAAACTTAGAACTTTTATTTTATTGTTTTATTATAAAATAAAGAGTTCATTATATATTTATAAGTTTATGTATTCAATTTAGATATATTATATTACATGTAATATTTATACATCATATATTCATATGCCATTTATACATTTACATTGTTTGTGTGTAATAAACTTTTGGTTTACAGTTTATAAAATCTAGTAAATCAAACCGAAACTGTAAACCGCAATTTAGAAAATTATCAAACCGAACCAAACCACAAATTCCATTTGGTTTGGTTTGATTTTATGAATTGAACTGTATAATGGACATCCTTATTGGCGATACATGTCTATTCTGGTTTTGATGTTATAGACAGTAAGAAACTGCAAACAGATTTTGTTTAAATTTGGATATGGGTATATATAAATCTAACAAGATTAAGATTTAAATTTGATCTGATATTTAATGGATATGTAAAATGTTTTAACATAGACTTGAATTTGAGTTGTACATATCTAGATATTTGATTCAATTGAAGTATATCAATTGGTGTGTTTTTTTTGGCATGTCTTTTGGATTGTAGAATGCTCAAAAGATCAGAAAAAGGTTTTTTTCTCTTTGCTATCATGTAGATGGAAAGATGCGAAGATGAGGATGCATAAAGATCAAAAAAGACAAAAATCCATAAGCTTCGAATGAAACTTTTGGTCTTTACATATTGAAAATGACCTTCTCAATTGTTTTTTAGGGTTGCAAATAGATCGGATCAGATTTAAAAAGGGGTATTTCTTATCTGATCTGATAAGAAATCCGATTGATCTGAATATGATAAGAATGCGTTAGATTTTTAAGATTATGATTTGAATTCGAATATCATACCGATTATCTGATTCAAATCTGATTTGATTAGAATTGTAATAAAGAAATATGATATAATATAAATTTATATTATAGTATTTATATAATATATTATTATATTGTAATATAATACATAATTATATAAATAACATATGGAACATACATATATAATATATAATATTTTATAACTAATGGATCATATCGGGGTATATCCAAATTCTATTAGTTAACTAAACGGAATGAATTTTTGGATATGATCCGATATGTTAGGATCAAGGGAGATATCTGAATTCGGCTCTTATTGGATTGGATTCAGATTCGAATTGGATCTGATCCGATTTATTTACAGAACTACTGTTTTTAACAGCCATGTAGCCCATGACTATACCAAATGGTCTTGATCTTTAAAGATGAGACCCCCAAAGCTCAGTGCGACTTCTTATTTACTGTGTTGTTGAAAGATAAGACCCCAAACAGCTCCTAAATCTAGATAATTTTTCCATTTCTCTTAAACCTTCCTTGACTTTTCAAAATCTCTAAGACCCCTTATCAAAGAATTTTTGTTAATTAAACTTATGGTTTATTATGTCAAAGTTAATGACCACTAACATGTATAAGTTTGTCAGGCAAGGTTCCAACTAGATGCAGGTTGGTAATGTCTCCTCCTCGTAGTGGAGACTTGGGATTCTATCCCGCCTACACTTGGGTGATTGGGGGATGGATTATTCCACGTTGTATAACCCTTCAAAAGAAATAAAAAACAATTTAATAAAACATAAATTTGTCACCTAAGCCATTCATTATTTCTAAGAACCAAACTAATCCTCATCCTCTATTGAACAATTGTTTAAAAAAGAAAACAAATTAAAAACAAAAAAAAAATGTTTCTTCTTTTATCCTCCACCAACCGAGAGTCCCAAGCCCATTTGGATGAAGAGATAGAACCCTCGAATCTCATATGGAGGGTTAGTATAATAAATTTCATTATCGCATAATTTTTGTTCATGGTAAGTTCAAAGGGAAGGGTAATATAGTAAACTTAATCTCCTAAGGAAAGATCTTTGACGGGGTCTCTGGAGGTTTTAAAAAAGTCAAATAAATTTAAAAGAAATGGAGAATAGTGAAGGGAGGTTTTAGATAATAACACTAAAAATTATTTTTTTCAAGCAACCTTCGAATTTAGAGGTATGGACTTCTAGATATATGCAACAAAGAGAATTAATCAGACTTCCTCACAAAGTTGGTGTAAGGGCCAAATTTGTGAGAGGAAATCCGAACTCCAATAATAAGGTGAGTCAAATCATTCTAAAGCATAAGATTAAGCTTACCACATTGCCCTTGGTTCTTCACATCAGTGACTGCTCCATTCTTCCTCCAGTCGACTGAAGCGGGTAGGTTGCTCTCTTTCTCATACCGGAAGCCCTCTGTTCCACCACGTTGGCTTCCTCGGAGCATCCTGTGATGGTTTACTTTGGAGCCAGCGTACAAGCTCCTGAACTCATGGTTGGTCAAGTCTGCAAACTTGTTCAGTTTCAGCTTGTAGGGGTGATCCTTCTTATTGAATTCATGGATGTATTTCAAGTTCTCTTTGAACACGTTGAAACGCTTCTTCTTCTCTGTCAGGTCTCGAGAAACAGTGTAATGGCTTCTCCACCTCTCATACAAGTCCCAGAGGCTTTCTTCCGACGCCAACTCCTTCTCATGATAATCAAAGCTCTTGGCAAGGCCAAGAACCAGAGCAAGTGACAGGCCAAACAAAACAATCTTCCCAACGTCCATTGCTTCATTCTCCACAAGATGGAACAAGTCTACAGGAAATTGGCTTATATAAGAGAATGGCTTTACAGGTCCCCATCAAATATATAATTAATTAGAACGAGACAACTAATACGTGAAAAAGCTTGCTTATGGGGCTGGCTGGGCTTATGGGGCTGGCTGGGTCGTGCAGAACTCAACCAATTAAATAACCCAATTTTTAGGGTCTGGGTCTGTATTATCTGTCCCCATTATATTTGGGTTGTAATTGGTTTTGGATGTTCTGAACCGAAGCGATTGTATATGGTTATCTATATGCATTATATCGACATTGCATAAAGGTACCGCCAGTGTAATACCTAGCTTTTTTTTTTTTTAATTTTACTACAAAAAGAATATATTTTTCTCTTGATATACTATCTAATACTATAATGTATGATGTCCAAATGCAATTTAACAAATAAGGACCCGGTTACAGGCCCGGGTTCGGTACTAGTTCTATGATCAATCTGTTGGATCTGGACCAGACCGACCCATATTGACAAAATTGTTATGTGAGGAATTTTTGTGGGTAACAAGCATGGCTTTTAAAAACGAACCGGTGATCGAACCGGTCAGGGGTCCTGTTATTGATTTGAATGGTCTGATCGTTGGACCCGAATGACCGGCCTGTTCTGACAAAAAAACAATTAAAATAAAATTAAAAAATTGAAAAATAGTCAAAACCGTTTGAACTGTTCAAATGGTTCGAACAATTAACTGACCGGTTCAGTAATTTGCTGACCAAAATCAACGATTTTAGGGGAAAAAGAGGTTTTAGAGGAAAATGTAACTTATCAGGTGACTGGTTCCCGGTTTTTCTGGTCCGACCATCCAATCCGGTCCGGTTTTGAAAACAGTGGTAACAAGTATCATTAAGAAAAAATGTTGTCGAAAAAAAAGTTAATAAAAAATGGGTTTTTCAAGAAAAGGCCTATGACATGAGAAGACGTGTTAATTAACGGGATCAACTCATGCAAGCAAAGGGGGAGTTTGACATATTGGAGTTGGTTGACATTCATTAAAAAGATAAAGAACTGTGAGGTTCCGTTGGCGGTTATTCCGTTGTTTTAATTTTCTAACACTCGTTTGGTACATTCTGAGGTAATCTCTACATACCAAACAAGACTTGCGGAGTTTATGAATTTCCTGACAGGGACATTCTGCAGTTCGAGACCTATACACAATCTAGTTGCAAGTGTGCGTGTAAAGGAAGTCCCTGTTTGGTTGGTATAAACAAAACAAAACTAACTCACGTATAATAGAAGAGACCCATTGAATGGTAGATTCATTTCTTTAACGAGGAAACTGAATTGATTGTGGTTTTGGTTTGAATAGCCCCCTGTTTTAGAAATACCACAATTTTTAAGGGGATTGAGACGCTAGTATGAGAGGAGAGTATAAATTAATATAAAGCTGACACGGATGATTGGAATGACATTTGCCTAGGCTTCACGTCCAGGACATTAATCGGAATATATATATATATATATATATATATATATTAGTAGTATCATATAATATTGTCGATAATTGCGAAGGGTGGTTGCCCAAATACTTTAGTCTTCAATCATTCTATTAAGACATTTGAAAAGATTTCGTTTGTTTTTTTTTCAATATTACATATGGCTCAATTTGAAAGAGTACAAACATAAATATACATGTATTTTATATTATTTTATATGTATTTATACTGTACATATTTATATTTATACTCTTTCTAAACTTAACCTACAATACATATTTTAAGGGTATTAGGGGTGGGAATAAAATCGGGTGCAAATCCTGAGTTGGACCAAAAAGGCCTGCCCTCTCAATAGCCTTTGTCTTTGTTGCCAAGGCTTAGGCCTTGAATCACTAGAGTCCCATGCCTAGCTTCAAGCCTTCAGTCTCGTGATATGCAAGGGTAAGGCTTAAATAGATGAGGAACACCATAAATGGAAGTTAGTATTAATTATTAATAGAATCATTTTAATTAGTAACTGATTCAAGTTTTGTTAATCTTAAAAATAAGGCAAAGGTACAGAACATGTCTACAAGACTAAGTTATGGATCATAAAATAGAAATGATAAATTTGGCACTTTGATTGTTCCCTGGATCGGGTCAAATTCAAATTGGGTTGGGAAATGTAAATCTAGAAAGAAGTTATCTTTTCTTTATTTGTTTTTTCTAGTATATATATATATATATATATATATATATATATATATATATATATTTGTTAGAGGTTTACGCATCAAAACACCTAAGAGCCTTGCCCTTTTCACACCCCACCATACATTGGCTTCACCTTTATTCTTATAAAACCTTGTTTCAGATCATAGACTGTGGAAGGACTGTGTATTGTAAAATCTCGGTTCGAGTTTGAGGGTGGCTATTTTTGTAGGAAAAAAAATGAAAAAAAGTTAAGACCATACCCCAGTCTACAAGTAAATGTTTATTGGACAATGACCTTTTTTAAACATCATCATCTTCTTCATTTTTTTTGTTATTTTTTTTTTCATAGAGCAACGTTGGTAAGGCCTAAGGCCCTGTTAGATGATTAAGTACTTGTTACACTTATAAGTACTTATTTTAACAACCACTTATAAGTACTTGTTACACAAGTAGTTCTTATAAATACTTATTTTAACAACCACTTAAGGCTGTTTGGTAATCCACTTTTCAAATCATTTATTATGTTTCTAAGCACTTATTGAGGTGGGGATGTTTAATAAGCTACACTACAAGAAAAAAGGTCAAAGCTGGCGGTCATGCGTCCACCGCCTAAGAAGCTACCGCCTTAGATCAGGACCGCTGGCTTAGGCTAAAATGGCTACCGCCTTTGATGGCTGGGCGAAGGTGGTCCAAGTTGCTCTAAAGCGGCGGTCTATTCGAGCCATCGGGTTAGCTTTAATAAGGTGGCGGTTATGACCGCTGGCTTAAGTCCTAAAAGACCGCCACCTTAGCTTTCTATCAAACTCCCTCACGTTCTTAGGTGGCGGTCCAAACCGCCGGCTTAGGTGTGCTTGCAGCTAAACCAGCGGTTGCATGACCGCCAACTTAGATTTTTTTTTTCATTTTTATTTATACCAGGTTGACAACTAAGCCGGCGGACATGACTGCCGGCATAAACCTGTTTTTTTTCAAAAAAAAATCATATACCCGCTTAATTGTAGGATTTTTGTGGTACTTGAATTGTTTATTGATTTAGTATTTTCATACCTGTTTAATACAACAAAACCATTTGATAAAAATCAATTTAAAATGAGATCTATTAATTCAAAGATTATACATTAAAATATCTAAAAAGACATTGTTCAAATACAATATCCAATTGACATATAAATAGTACAAGAACTTAAAAAAAATCAAATTCTCTAATAATGTAGTACATCTTCCAATGCAAATACACTTAACATATTGGTTGAACCTGCAAATCAAAACATATAAATATTAGAATTCTGTTCAAATATTTTAACTATAAAGATAGGACAAGTAACTAAAATTTACACGGGCTGAATTCTAAGCAATTAATTGGAATATCAATAGTAGTTCAAAATTCAGTTGATGTGAGTTCTTTACCTACTTACAAATCTTCAAACCACATGTAATGTAAGAAGGGTAAACAACATTAAGGGTAAGGAGATTCAGTCCTCACAAAACTGTACTCACACCATTCTCATAGCCCTTTTCAGCCATGCATTGGGAAATCTTCAAACCACATGTAAAATATAACGCTTTGCACTCCAAACTGAGCCATATATACACATGCTTTTTTGTCATGTCAATACATCTTTGATTTATTATATGCACTTTAGAGAGCCTAACTCACTAGCGTAATGATTATTAGATGAAGGTGGATTTCAAATTCCGCTTTTTCAACAATGTGGAATTTGGAAGCATATGGAAGAAAAACCTTGCAAATTCTGTATTTTACCAGAATTCAAATACAATATTGCAGAAACTTAAAGGCAATAGATGGATATTTTAATCAAGCCCAACCAAACAAATTGATTATGCCTTATCTCTCTCAGAATCTTCAATTTTGAGTACAATTCCTGCATGAAGACAGATTGTATGACAGTTCCTTCAATATAATTATCATCAAAGTATTTTTCAAGATTAAAGATCGATTGGACATTCATGTTTCAAATGAATAATTTAAATTTCCTAGTTCCACAACCTCTGCTACAAAGCCTAGAGAATGATAAACTTAAGTTTTATGCTCAAACAAAATAGAGATATTTTCCCTCTGGGTTATATCATGCACTAAGCTTTATGCTCAAACATTGTAAATACCTATAAGCAAATAGCTCTATCTGACCTCTACAAGGAACAAGATTATGTGTATGATTAGTTAATGCTCATCACAAATATATAGAATATGCAAACTTAGGAGTTTGATACCCTGAAGAATTAACTAATTCGATTAATTAAAGAGATTGTATTACTTATTTGGGTTATTATTTGAAATCACTCTTCACTTTTCTATCTTTCTCTTGGGTTTACCCTGACTTTTGGACACCTCCAGTGAGATAGTAACCCTATGTCAAACTTTTGCCGTTAAAAACCACACCTCCAATGAGATAGTCCTTGTACCAAGAGAATTTCAAAAAAGTGAAGGGGAGTTTTACCTAATAACCCTTCTTTTAAGTCATCATCATAAGATTATGGAATTTAGCAAACTACAAAAAAAAATGTGTTGCGGTTTTGGATTATGTAATTTAGATATGTATAAGATTTAAAGGAATTAGAGAAGAATGCAGTACACTAGAATGAGACTGTAAAAGAAAATTGGAAGATTCAAACTGGTTATCACATTGTCCCATCTAGCCCTAGATTACCACATTCATATTGCCCCTATTTACTCCAGCCTTAGCCAAACTGTAAGCCAAAGCATTTGCTGATCCTGGGCTCCACCAAAAGCAGTTCATGTTAGTAGACACTTTCCTTGTTTCCCTTACTAGAAATCTTAACATCCAAGGTACCTTGCTCAGATGTTAACATTAACATATTC